CCCTAATAAGTCTTTCCTTACATGTAAATAATGCTTCTTTGAAATCTTTATGGGAGCTTGAAGTTTTGGGTATTTCCGACCCGACGGAAAATAGTAAAAAACGAAAAATCTTCATTGCGACTACGAGATTGATTTTCAGAATAAATTATCTATTCGGCCCGATGGTAGATATGAATTAGAATTACCCTGGAAATGCGAATCTACCAATTTATCAGATAATAAAAGCATTGCTTTGACACGTCATCAAAAAATGATAAAGAGGGCAAAAGAAAATAATTCTTTGAAGGAATATCAAGAAGTGTTTAGAGAGTGGGAAAATTTAAATATTATAGAAAAGGTTCCGGAAAAGGAAGAATTAAACAATAAATGCCACTTTTTACCACACAGACCGGTTTATTAAGATGAATAGTGAAAGCACTAAGGTAAGACCCGTTTTGATGCTTCATCTTGTGAAAAGGGAAAACCATCTTTGAATCAGTGTTTATTGAAAGGACCTAATTTAATAGAATTAGTCCCTGATATTTTAGACAGAATGAGATTTTTTCCTATTGGTCTGAGTGCAGACATAGAGAAAGCATTCTTGCAGTTAGGAATTTCTCCGAAGGATAGAGATTACTTGCGATTTTTCTATCCAAGTGATGAGGGAGAAATAGTGTATAGGCACTGCAGAGTAGTTTTTGGGGTTTCCTGCAGCCCTTATCTACTAGGTGCGTCTATTAAATATCTCTTGAATAATTGTCCATCTGACTTTTTAGATGTGGCTGACAAATTAAAAAATTCGTTCTATGTAGATAATTGTATTACGGGTGTTTACAATATTGAGGAACAAGAGGATTTAATTCAAAAGGCCAAAAGTCTTATGTCGAGAGCGAGAGGCAGATTTAATTTAAGGGGATGGGAGAGCAATGTTGCTTCCAAATATACTACAAAACATTCTGGGGACACACCTCTTTTAGGAATATTGTGGAATTTAGACAATGATACTTTAAGGTGTAATATAAATGTAAATATGATAACTTGTGATACTAAGGTAACTAAGAGACTGATTCTGTCTATTGTACAATCAATTTTTGATCCAATTGGAATACTTGCACCAATAACTTTGCTTCCAAAACTTTTGTTACAAGAAACATGGAAGTTGAAATTTTCTTGGGACGAGGTATTGCCTCATGATTTTGTAAGTAAATTTTTTGTGTGGTTATCTGATATACTTTTGTTGAAAAATGTGGCAATACCCCGATTCATTGGAACCTTTGCAACAGTTGAATTGCATGTATTTGTCGATGCCTGCAAATATGCTTATGCAGGATGTATTTTCGCGAGAAGTGTTGATTCATGCAGTGTAAAAATTACTCTCTTAAGAGCAAAATCTAGAGTAGCTCCTATTAAGAATTTGACGATTCCTAGATTGGAATTAATGTCCTGTTGCATTGGATCCCGATTATTATTATATTCTGTTTGTAAAGCTCTTAATGATTTTGATATAAATGTAACTTTATGGTGTGATTCCACAGTCGCATTATGGTGGATCAGAAATCCTGGTAATTGGTCGAACTTTGTAAGCAATCGTGTTAAAGAAATTACTAAGTTGACAAAACCTGAATCATGGAGGCATGTGCCTGGTAATATGAACCCAGCAGATGTGTTATCTCGAGGTTGCTCTGCTAAACAAATGATTAACTCGGAGTGGTTTAAGGGACCTCTCTGGCTAAGAGAAAGCCCTGAATTTTGGCCTACCAATATTGTTTGTCAGCCGAGCGAAGCTGACTTGGAAAAGAGGAAGGTAAAACTTATTAATGTTAACTTTTCAGAGGATACCACTCCTTGGTATGCAGAAAGAAAGAGTTTCTGATTATGAAAAAATGATTCGTGTAACCGGTTGGGTGTTACGTTTTATTTCTAACTGTAGGAAGAAGTCAAATTTGTGTAAAGAATCTAAACTAACTGTTGCTGAAATCATAAATTCCGAAAAAGTTTTGATTCGGTTGGTTCAAAGCTCAAATTTCCCTGACATTGGAGCTCTTAATCCACTTGATGTATTCATTGATAATGAAAAAATTATAAGAGTTAAAACTAGAATATTGGAACGCAAAGACAATTCTGAATTTTTAACACCAATTTTGTTACCGAGTAAATGTATCTTTACTACATTGTTAATTGAGTCAGTTCATAAGAAACATTGTCATGCTGGAACTCAAATGCTTCAATCTATTTTAAGAGAAAGATTCTGGATACTAAAACAACGTAAAACTGTGCGTAATGTGTTAAAAGGGTGTGTAATATGTCAACGATATAAAGCGAAACCGATGTCTTGCGAAGTGACTCCTCTTCCTGAAGATCGCGTAGGAGATTATAGGGCTTTTGAAATTTTGGGAGTAGATTTAGCTGGCCCATTGTTTTTGAAAAAAAACGGTAAGAAGGTTTGGATGGCACTCTTCACATGCGCTGTGTACAGGGCAATCCATCTAGAACTGGTGACTTCGTTATCAACAGAATCTTTTCTTTTGGCTTTAAGACGATTCATAGCCAGACGCGGCAGACCACGAACTATTTATTCTGACAATGGGACTAACTTCCGAGGAACGTATAACGAAATCTCTAAACTTAACTGGGACATAATAGAGAATGAGGCAAAAAATAAAGAGAATAGTATGGAAATTCAATCCACCAACAGCCTCCTGGTGGGGAGGTTGGTGGGAACGGCTAGTTCGCATGGTTAAAGAACTTTTAAGACGTTCTTTGGGAAAATCGGTTTTATCTTATGAAGAACTGGAAACCTTAATTTGCGATTGTGAGTCGGTAATTAATTCTCGACCTTTAACATATATTTCGGAGAACTCTGAAGATGCTATCCCTTTAACTCCGTCAATGTTTTTAATTGAAAATTGTACTTCGAATGTAGCAGATATAGATAAAATTGACTCTCAGCATTTTTTGAGAAGAATTAAATACCGCACAAAACTTCTTAAAGATTTAAGGAACCGTTTCCGAAAAGAATATTTGGGGCAATTAATAATGAAACAACCACAAAATAAAGTAACTCGGTTGCCTAAAATTGAGGAGATAGTCTTAATAGGGGATGATTTAAAAAAAAAACGCTTTTATTGGCATTTGGGTAAAATTATAGAGAAAGTTCCTGGTCGGGATGGCAAAGTTCGAACAGTTAAACTAAAAACTCAGAATGGGATTTTCATAAGGCCCGTTCAGCGTATTTATCCACTAGAGATACAACTAAGTGAAAATTATTTAGTTGAAGAGCCTAACGTTAACGACGATAAGAAAAACGATCAGACTGACGTACAGCATATAAAACAGAAATTTACGTCGTCAGGACGGCTTGTTAAGAAGCCTAATGTACTAGACCTTTTTAATAGGATAACATATGTTTTTGAGTCGTTTGCCACTGACTCAAAAAGGGGGGAGGATGTTGCATAATCGAGAAAATATTGTTAAGAATTTTATTATTACTATTTTTATTATTGTCTATTTTTCAAAAGTTTGTTTTTTGTTTTATTATTGTGTGAAGTTGTAACTATATGTCTTTCTTGTGTGGCAACAACGCTTCTGTAATTCTTCAATTTGAACTTTTGGATGTGTGCCAAGTTTGATGGCGTAATGCTCTGGTGAGAGCGTCGATTGATTGTGTAAATGAAACATGTTGTTTCAGAACGTTATTTCTTTAAAATATGTAAAATAAATGTTTTGTTTTCTGAACTTGGATTATGCAAACGTTATTTAGTTTCAACAAACACTGCATAGAAAATGTTCTCTGCAGATTTTTCCGCTCTTCACATTAATAGAATCTTCTCTTTGACATTTGTGTATCCATTCTTTCGTCAAAAGCAAACTCTCATTTGGATCCTTTGGTCCCATGAAATAAAATATCTCATCCTTTCATACTTCTGTAAGTGCTACGGCACGTTACTGCAGCGCAAAAAGCCATATTACGTAAACGATACTTTACAATATAGAATTTAAAATAAAAACTGACTAAAATTACATATATATATAAATTATTTTAAATATATACATTATTAGAAAACAGATATATATATTATTAAAATTAATTTGGGATATGTAACCTCTAGAAAATCGTCTCGCAGCTCAATGAAACTACTGTTTTAAACGCGGGAAATCACGACAGTGGCATCACAGTGACGTCAGATTATTGCCTGTTTCGCCCCCCCATTAGGCTCGCGTCGGCCAGGAGTCGAACAAAGAAATGAGCTAGCCCTTCTATTTATCCCTGGGTGCGAATAGCTTAAGCGGCTAATCGCGCCGGTGGTGCGAATAGCATCGGCCGTAACCTGGGCTGATTGTGCGCATGCGCGAACGTAGGTGGTGTGAATAGCCTATTAGGTATTCGCACCATCGGTGCGATTAGCACTGTGCTAAAACGACACAGCTGACGGACGCGGCGATCTTCGTAATGATCGAGACAACGACGGGAGACTCGATTTTGTCGAGTAGATCGCAAAAAAAGACGACTCGTTCTTTCATCTCGACGGTCTCCTTGTATCAACCAAGGCTGTAACTTTGTAATACTTATTAATAACTAATATAAAATATTTTAATTCGAATTTTAATATCGGAAAAACCGTCAAATTTATTTAATTTATTTCAAGCTATTAATATTCACAGAAGTAATGTTTTTATTAACGAGTACTATAAATATGAAAACTTTCTACCTGAATGGCAATACCTTTCTGTAATATTTTGATTTTTCTGTAACGGCGCTACGAAAAAGCGCGCGACTTAAAATTTTTCTTTCTTTATTAATATTACGTTTCTTAAAATATTTGTAATCTGTTCAACTGTGTGACTATACGTTTTTTTAAATCTTGATATTGTAAAATACTTTAATGTAGTAATCAGATTTCATCACGTAAATAGTAGCGTTTTAATAGGTCAGTATGCGTAGATATCTCATTTAAAAAAAATTTCTTATGTTTATTTCGCGCTAAGCATTGTAAATGTTGATTTTAATATTGTAACTTCATTTTTTATTTGTTTAATTTTTGTTTTTTTTTTTAGTTTGAAAGTTATTTCCACTGGTATGTGTAATCTAAGTTTATATGATATAGTATGTATTGTTATATGAACTGTTATGTAGTAGCACTACCATAATGAACCTTAACTTTCTTTTTTGCCATAATTTTCTTATTTCTGGCCAATATTTCATGTTATTATGTATAAGCTTCTTTTTCAACAGTTTTTCTTGTCCTTTAGAGGTCACTGACCTAGTATTTTAATAGATCGTTTCTTTCAGTATTTAATGAGCTGCTTAATATAAATTAATGATAAAATTTATATGATACATTTATGCACTGGGTTGTTCGGTTTTTAATTAGCTCTGTATTGTAAAAAAATTTCTGGATTTAATGTTTTATTGCAAGCAGTAGAATAAAAGATTGTTGTGTAAAGAAAATTTTTTAATGTTTTGTCGGTAAAATCCTAGTATACGGTGCAGCCTTGGCACGACTTTGAAAATTATCGAAAACACCAAAAATGATCCAAAGAACATCTATCTCTCTATATATATACTATACACACATAGTATATGTATATGCACACATAGTATATATACTATACTATGTTTAACTGTATATTTTCTTTGAATGACCCGTTAACTACTCATCGTATATGTCCCGTTTTTACTGCTCGTCATAAAGTCACCAAATCCCCTGTGCACCGGATACTAGGATTAAACCGTTTTGTCTTTTTAATTACAATTTTAGTGGCTTAATTTGTTGTTATATGGTTAGTTTCGTTATAATATATCATATTAATGCCAATGACTTTATTATAATTAACAAGTTTATAAAATGTATCGGTGTTCCTCACTATAAGTAGAATGATATCATAAGTTACCCATCATGAACTGAAAATCTTAATCTAAAGCGGGGCTGATACCCTTAACCTATGTAACATCCTGCTCTAAACACACAAAAGATTTTCACTTTATTCAATTATTGCTTTTTGATATTCAAATAACAATATTTGAATATCAAAAAGCACACCAAGGGCTATCTGCATACAAAATTTATTCAGTATTTCACTATAAAAAGAAAACATATGACTGTACAGATACTTAGCTGTTAACACATATAGCTGAAAATAGTGAAAATCTGAATTTGAATTAACTGCTGAATGATATAACATGGCTTTTAAGTTATCTGTTGGATGATAAAGTAGCAAGTGCATGAATTCGGCTGTGTTAAGTGTTTGACAAAGATGTTTTTCTTTCGCATGGAGATGTGATATCCAGCACCTTTAATTTAGTATAAGCATAAGAAAACCAGATTGTGGTGCTACTTTGGTAGACGGTTGCACGGATTTTTGGCGATTTACGTTGGCGGAATTGTTGGCGTGATTTTTACAATCGTCAGCCATCTTGAAAAACGCTGTTTTTATGCATAGTAAAGTATTCGAAACCTAAAAAATAATAATAATAAAAAATAAATATCGTTAAAAGTAATGGATTAATTTTTTGTTGAAAATGTCTTTTTTTAAGATGGCAGGCAAATGTAAATAAGTACATTTACTATGAATATAAAGTACTAAAGTAAGGCTATTATTACTTTCATATAGCAAAAAAGAGAATAAAAACACCGCTGTAAAAACATTGGGCCAACGTTTAATTAGATTAAAATATTACTTAAATTGAATATGGAATTAAAAACCATCCTACCAACATTTAAAAGAATTAGAATATTATTAAATTCAAAATACTTTAAAATACGTTATATAAAATATAATTAACATTAAAAACATATGTGACAATAATTATCTCAGCAATTTTTGATAATAGTATTAATTTTTATTAACAAAATTGAAGTATACATTATAAAATAAAGAAAAATATGTACTTACATTTTTTTGAGTAATTAACTCTTGTTTATTGATAAGTACCACAAAAAAAAATCAAAATCGTAATTGAATCGGATCTTTTAACCATCTTCATCTGTTATCCAAATATCTCGCACTTCATTGAAGAAGCAATTAGCGAGGTTTCCTCCAAGATTTCCTCTGACACTATTAACAATTTATAAATAAATCTTTAATTAGGAAAGACAGGTTCGCCAAAATAAAGTCTCAAAGGGCAATTTTTTTATTCCAATACTAATAATTCTTGGTAATTACCAATAACAACATTCGTCTTCGAAACGGAGATATCCATTCCATTTAAAATCCCAGGAATTCGAAGAGATGAATAATAAAATTTTAAAATGGCGCTGTAATGCACAAATATTCAGTAACCAATCAGGGAGCTGATTACATCACGCATAGATTAAAATTATTTAAATAATCATTCATAATAAAATCATTTTTAAAACAAATGCAAAATTAATTTTATTTTAATATTTAACAGCTATAAATAATGTTTACAACATTAGATTAAATTTATAGATATTAATAAAACCAATTACTTTTAAGTAAGGTGACGTCATTGATTACATCATCCACAAACATAAAATTATATAAAATATTATAAACAACAAGATTTTTATTTCAAATAAAAATGTAAAATTAAATTGATTTTTAATATTTAGAAGCCATAAATAATATTTAAAACACGGAAGTTATGCATAATAAAACGCATTATTTTTTTAATAAAATGACAACAAAGTATCGGTTACCATAAATAACTTATCCAGCAATGGGTTTACCATAAGTTGTATTACTCGCCAAAATCCGTGCAACTATCTACCAAAGTAGCACCCAATTGTTTAATTTTTGACACATTTGGCATCTTGTTAACTTTTCCATCCATTATGTGTAATCATTTTGCCAGATTCTTATTTATCTGATTTTGAATTGGATATATATTGGAAGAAAAGGCATCAGGGTTGAAAACATCAAGGAATCATCATGAGAAGGTCATTTTAAAATTGCAATTTAAAAAAAAAAATACCACTTATTCATAAGATTTTGGTGAACTTTCAAATTTCGGGGTCGAACCTGTAATTTTTTAAGTGTTAAGCAGCATATATTTTAAACCGCCACCTTATACAGGGTTAGTTTTACCAATAAGCTAACCTAGGTGATCAGCTAATTCATGGTTAACCAAGGTTCAAGGACACTTGTACATTGGTGGCTGCTTCATAAACAAAAGAAAAATAAGTCACTAAATCTTTTCTGTTTTTTAATTTTAATGAAATATTATGTAGTATTAAATAAATGTTATTTAAATGCAGCAAATAACTAAATATAAAATGAAATGTCTCTTGGCGACTATCTCTGAAAGTGAACAATAATTTAGAGAACTAAGTTATTGTTAAATAAAGATAATGAACGTGGAAAATAATCATGTTCTGTAAGATGATCACCTTCATTAAAAAACAAAATTATTTAGAACGGTTGATAATTATCTTTTTGGAGTTTCAATGTACATTCTTGTAAACAGTGTATGGAGGGACAGTGGTTTGTATTTTCTTAGCCTAGATTAATTTATGGATTTGCTGTGATTAGTATATTACACTGTATTAATGATGATTCTGAAAATATGTCAGTAAATATTTTAATTGCTTGAATATCTCGCCATAATCTTCTTTGTATAGTCTTAGGTGACATAAAAAATGCTTCACTTAAAAAGAAACAAATGTTCAAGAATAATAAAATATCCACGGAAACAATGTAGAAACTTCAAACCCCGTGAAAAATGCACTGATGCATCATTTGTGTGCTATCCTGTAGAATTCCTTGGTGCAAAGGTGATTATTTCATTTATAGTACAAACAAAAGTTTAGTTTTCCTTTTCCATGTTGTGGTACTTCTCTGTTATGCACCTGTCACGCATTTTAGTGGGTTTTTTAATCACAAGCAATTTCTAGTTATAAAAATAGTTTATAGATAGCACATACACACGGTACTTTTCCGTTATGGCACACGCATGCCCTTCTTTTCCGTTATGCACACACACACACACGTATGGCAGGTGCATAACGGAAAAGTGCTCATGTTTTTGTCATTTTTTTTCGAGATGTATATATGGATTTGGTTGATCTTTACAATATGGTAACTGGTAGTTTGGCGACATTTTGGAGGCGATAAAAGTTACTACCTGGGACTTTGGTAATAATGTTAGCAGTACTCAGTTCCGATTATGCATTATTTTGTGTGGGGAAAATGAGAGATCATGGGATATGTCATGTGATATTAATGGACGAATTACGGTTCTTTAATCAGAAAAGGGGGGAATTTGGACAAGTATCTGTGGATGTATATTATTTTGTATTAAGCTTCATTGTGTGTTGTGTGAAGTAGGGTTGAATAATTTTGGGATTGTGTGGCGCTGTCTAAAGTGAATTGTAGAATGTGATAAAGATATTTTTTTTTTTTTTTTTTTTTTTTTTATGAAATTCTATCAAATTCGGAAAAAAAATCGTTCAGTAATTTTATTGAATCCATAATAAAAGTGTATCCACCATGTAAGGAAGATTCGGAAGAAGATTAGGTTAGTTAGACTTTGTTAAGAATGTGAGTAGTATTCAGTTCTGATTACGCATTTTTTTATGTGAGGGAAATGAGAGATCATGGGATATGTTATGTGATATTAATGGACGAATTACTGTTCTTTAATCGGGAAAAAATCTGGCAATTTTGTATTTGGCTTTATTCTGTGTTGTGTGAAACAGTGTTTGATTGAATTTTTGGATCCCATGGCCCGTAACTAAAGTGAATTCGAAACGGGTATTTAGTGGTATTGAAAAGGATAGTAATAAAATTTTTTAAGGTTGTGCAAAAGAGAAATAAAGATGTGTTTATTATGTTATTATTTTACCTGGTATCTTGCTTTGAAAGATAAGTATGATTTTAAAGATTCTGAAAACAGAAGTAAGAAAAGTGTATCCGCCACGTAATCAAGATTCTGAAGAAGATTAGGTAAGTTAGTATTTTTAATTATTTGAGGATATTATTTTTATGGATTGTTGTAAATGTAAGGTGGAAAGGAATTTGGTATTATTGGGGAAAATTGTTATTAGCAATGATTTAGTTTAAAGTAATTAGGATTGTAAGGTAATTTTTATTAATTTAATGTATGTGCTCATTTATATTTTTAAGTAGTGTTTTTGAATTTAATTATATTTTAATTAAATGATAGTTATTTTGTGAATTTTATGTTTGTAGGAATTTGGTATACGTTTAAGTTGAAATAAACGTGCATGGAAATAATTTAAATATTTGATATTAAGTATTTGTAATGCTTGAGGTATGAATTCGTTGGTGACGTGTATAATGTAATAGATGATTTAGCGGTAAAAGTTTTTGGATATTCTATTTATTTTATATGTGGAAATGTTCATATTTGGAAAGGGTAAATACTTTTTCATGATCAGGTAATTTCATATATGTTCTTTTTACCGGGTTTAAAGATTGAGAAAATTGTCATGTATTTTCGTGAAATTTTTGTAATTTATGAGAAAAAAGCAGTGTACATGGATATAGTGAAGAGTGTGCGCAATGCCATTTTTGTGCAATTCTGGGATGTTAAGTAAAAATAAGTCGGTGTGTACATGGTTTATGTGTATGTGTTATTTTGAAAAATGCGTAAGGAGAATGGTATTGTGCAGTTTTTCCTAATTTTGCAGTGAATATTTGTCATGATTAAGCAGTTTTGTTTGATAAAATTTCTAGCATAAGTGTAATTCGGCGAGTAGATTGTTGGAAGAAGTGTTCAGGAGATAAAAAGAAAAGAAACATGTCTTTACTTCGTGAAGACAAAATGGCGGCGGGGAAAAAAAAATAGAGGTTTGCTGTAGGAGAGTTGGTCGCCAAATTTTCGCCAAAAAATCACCAAGTTACCATAATGTAAAGATCAACCATGGATTTTTAACTAAAAATAATGATGATAATATGCTATCCATTGTATTTGTACAGTTTCGGAATGTAAAAAGTTTAAAATGTATTTTTATTTGCTGTCTCTCATGCATAAAACTTCATGTTTTAACATTTTAATAAGATTTTTTTGGGGGGGGGAAGGGACCATCCGTATAACTAATTTTATAATATTTCGTTAAAGATAAAATCTTGGCTAACCAACCAGCTTTTGAATTTCTTTATTATAGCTTAGTTCCGGTATTAAGAAAATGAAAAAATTACTGACTGCAAATCTATTGATGATCAGAAGGCCAACTTCATTTTATTCTTAAATCGGTAAAAGTATATTTTAGGGTACTGTTTGGCGATTTTTGGCGGAAAATGGATACAGAGTTTGTGTAATTCTTTGACTTGTTATTTTGGCTTGCATAGTGGTGATTTTGGGCGCAAAAATTGCCACTACGCAAGGCCAAAATAGCAAGACAAAGAATTGCATAAACTCAGTATCCATGTGCATAGCAACCTATTTTCACTTAAAAAAAAATCTCGGAATTGCACAAAAATGGCATTGCGCACTCCCTTGACTTTGTCCATGTACACATCGAACTATATTCACTTTAAAAGTCAAAAAAGCAGCCAACAAAAATATATAATTTGAATAAACTACATTGTAAATCAAACAATGAAATAACATAGAAAAGGAAATTAATCTTGGCACTACACGAAGGAAATATCTACCTACCCTATTTAGGAATATTATTTCTAATACTCTTTTTTTTTCTGGTTAAATATAGCTGCTAATTTCTGCACCATATTCAATAAATCTAATCAATAATTGAATAATTTAATTAAATAATCAAGATAATCGCTGTGCGCTTTCTAGGAGCCATTTCTGTAAGAAAAAAGTGGCAAAAAGTGAAGTTTGAGCGATAATTCCACGTACCTTCAAATGCCGCAATTTAGTGGACAACTAATGATATCTGTTGGCCAAAACGTAAACTAAACACCTAATACTGTATATAATTTATTTCAATGGTTCAACAGGAAAAAAACGGGATGCACTCCTCAATAAAGGAAGAAAAACATATGCCCTTGGAAATCGCGGGATGAGCAAATTTTGCTACATTTGAGTTGCCCGTCTAAATCGCGGGATGATCAGCCAAAGGGTTAAATGTTATGCTCATTGTCATCAGACTGTAATCTTAATTGTCTTACTCTGCATACCGACATTTCTTCAGTTTTTTGAAACAATTAATTGATCTAAATTCACAAATATCTGAAATTTACACGTTGCAAGGAAATCCAGAATGTAACAATATGCAAAATATATTGAAATACGAATTGATAACGCTTTTTTTAATGTCTTGAAATTGTTTTAAAATTACTAAACCATTACTTAATCACTTCTCCTTTTATTAGAGCTTACATTAAGAAATAAAATTTTATTACTTTTCATTCAACATTATACATATTAAATAACAAGGATTTTTCACTCTTGATTTTGTATTACATTTAGTCAACTATTACACATGTTAGATAAAATTTTAAAAAAAAGTGAGAGAACTTTAGTTTGATATTTTTTCCTTACATTCTTAATTACTGACCAAGAGATAAAGTAAGTTTTTTATATGTTTGACAGATAGATACTGAGTTAATTACAATATTTTTGCAAAAATAAGTGTACCCTATGTGCAGATGTTACATAAACCTCAAATTTCTGGAAAGAGAAAAGATTTGTGGAAAATCTTTAATCAATAAAAGGACCATTCATGATAGGGCCTCCTAAGACTGAATGCACAAATGTTTTCATCTCTGTGGATCACCATATTTTCAAATTCTTAATAAGCTGTTATGTTGATGTTGCATATTGACATGGTCACATCATCTTGACCACACATGGCACTTCTGCCGAATTGGCGAATGTTTCTATATACAGTTTCACACAAATATGTGGTTACGACTGATGAAACATTTACTTATTAGCATATCTGTTTATATATTTATTAACATTAATGCATATTACAGAATTTTGAGGTAATATTATTTTTCAATTAAGATATTTATACCCAAAATGAGTATTTTTCAATTATATAAACCCTGACCGAGTTTAAAATAAGCAACTATTATCTCTTTCTCCTAAAAATTTTTAAAAAGTGCAGATTGCTATATAATGCAGATGACAAAAAATTTATTTTATTTAAAACATTTTGATATTAGTAACATAAGAGAAAGTATATTATGAGCCACTGCCACTGGTTTTGCTGTACAAAGCGGACGTTCTTTTTCTTTGATAATGCATAGATGCCCAACACTTGGGTGTCTACTGCTGGTTTCACCATCATTAATCCACTTTGCATAAATGGTAACCGTGGCAGATCGTGAGCAATTTGCCAGTCGTGCATCTTTGGAGATACTCGTTCTGAGTCTTTGAGCTGTTACAGTATGCCCACTATCAGATTCGCTTAGATCGGCAACCTTTCCCATCACTTGCAAAAGTAAGAGCAAGAATGATTCCTTACCTTCTCCAGCAGCAGTTAAATACCATTCCTACTTAATCATGTGCCCTGTACATCATCCAGACCAGTTTATTGAAAAATGGGGAGATGGTCATGTTTTGCCTTGTCAGTGTAATTGTAAATGTGTTTTTTTACTGATCAAGCTGCCTTTACAAGACATGGATGTTTTGGGCCTTATCCAGTCCTTTTGAGAAATGTGATTTTAGTCATATTGTAGTTGGTCTCTGATACAAGATTTTTATTACATTTTAAATGCATCAGTATGAGGGAGAAAACCTCCTTCCTGAAGTCATGAAATTCTTCCACTTTTTTTGGTTCTAGTTTACCTCTTTCACTCCCCCCCCTGTATGTGTGTGTCATAATATTTTATGTTGTAGTATTTGTTAAATACACAATGTGGCAAATTACCGGTTCAGAGATGTTTCATTCCTTGCAGCATAAGACTTTTAGTTTATCATCCACTTGATATTTCAGATTGCCAATTCTGCGAACTGTTGCCATTTCATGTGGCATGTAGGATTTTAATTTATGTTTTGAATTACAACTATGCATTGTTTTAATAAATTAAATGATCTAAAAGCTTTTGTAGTCTTGATTTTATTTTTAATAATATATATAATCACCATGATTTATAATGCATCTTAATAATTTTGCAGTCTTTTCTGATACAAGTTTGTTTTTTAAATATTTCAGAAATCTATAAATATCTTTTCTCTCTTCTTTTAGAGTGCTGCTAATTGTTCTGATATTAAATAATGATTTTTGAAGAAATTATCTGTGTTAATTTGAGAAAGAAATATTTGAGTTTTATATCTTTAAATGACAGTCTGTGATTAGAATGAGAACTCAAGTTTTTAATGAAAATAATGTATGTATTTAAAAAAAAATTATCTTGCATATTGATTTTATATTGTTTTTAAATATATTTTTATAGATAAGAAAAATGGCTTTAAATCAAGCTAAAGAGTTGCTATGTGCAATGAAGAATGAAGACTATAAAAAGCTTGTGGATCTTGCATCAAAAAATGTAATATAAAAATATCTTTATCAAATATTTTAAAATTAACTATAGTTTTATTAGGTTTTTGTATTTTAAGAGCAATATAATATTTATGTTATTTGAATGTGTATACTGGTAAAAATATTAGAAAACTTAAACAAGTTTATATTATAAAAAAAGAAAAGAAAAAGAAAAAAAAAAAAAAAAAAAGAAGACATTTTTATATTCTTTTTGTTAGGAAGTTTATTACAGAAAGATAATAAGTGTCAACACTGCCAGAGTTCGTACAATCCTTAACCCTTTCGCGGCGAGTTTTTTGTTTTTACAACAGAACAATTTTGATAACATAAACTATGAGTAGAGCACTCTAGAATCCTAAAAATTAAGATGTTATATTTTTAGAAAAATTTTGAACACTGATTTAGGACCGGGACATATATGTCCCATCAGTCCTGACCGCTGGGACATATGTGTCCCAGTAGTCTTCAATGAGTAATTTTGTAAAGAAAACCAATGATTTTCTAGTCATAAAAATTTAATTACGAATGGTATGGTTTGAAACAATCAATGCACAATGCGACATTACACATCGTGCACATTATTTTAGTGTGCGATTCCTTCTTTTGTTGTGCACATTTACGGCACCACCGTCGTGTTTTTGTTGTTACTGGCAGATGGTCACCAACATTGAGTAAGCTTCGTGATGTTTTGGATGGGCGTCCAGTTTCTCTATGGCGTTGACACTGTGTGTTGAGCTTTCTGGACGCCATCAAGGGTCCAGAAAGAGGTACAATACTTCTGCAAGAGGTACAATGAAATCAAGAAGTGGGGTTTTTCGATGTTCGAGTTCGCAGTACGCAATCCATGAGTTGACCACTGCGCTCATCAATGGGCGAAAAAATACTTTTTTCCCACCACTTGCAAGATTTTCGATCTAATTCATAGACATTTGCCATTTGATCTGCAAGATCTACACCTCCCATGATTTTGTTGTAGAATTCGATTGCCACAGGGCACTCAAATTCTTCTTTGCTTCCATCTTTCATGGTGCGATTTAGTTTTGTGTATTTAGCTTCGTGGCAATTAGCAATTACTTAGCATCATCACTTCCTTTGAATCAAGCCACCTCGCACACAATGTGTTCCATTTTTAGTTACGAGAAACTCAGCCTCACCCCTTTTGCTTAGTTTTGTTGTTCCAAAATTAGGGAACATTCTTTGCGTGTCTTGATGCATGTACCAACAGCAGGAAATTTCAGGGTTTCCATCAGGTGCACGCTTGTAAAAAATCGGTCAAACGCAAGCATCGTGTCTTTACCTCGGATTGTCTCCGTTAGCTTTGATACTACCCGTTCCCCGAGTGTGCCTTGAACATGAACTTCACCCGTTTCTTTTCCGGAATAAATGTTTATGTCATATACATATCCTGTTTTTGAATCAGATCGCTGCCAAATTTTTATCCCTATTTTCACAGGTTTCATCGGCATATATTGTTTCAGGGATTAACGTCCCTTGAATTTCGCCAGTTGATTCATCAATAGCTTAATATGAGCTTTCGCTTGCGGCACTGTTTGAAGGTTTGTTTCAGGCAGGAAACAACCTCGTCAATATAGTATGTTTTACTTGCATTTTCTGGCTTTTCTGGTGCAGCAAAATATAGTTTCGACAGCAACATTTTACATCTGTCTCTTGAAATAGCATTTTTTATTGCTACGTTTCCCAAAGAAGGATTAGATGACCAATAATAAGAGAATTTCGGCACCCTATTGTAAGACAGGACAAGCATGCATCCAAGAACAAGCATAATTTCAAAGTGTCTGTAGGGTGAATTGTTTGTCCTAACTTTTTGAGTCGTTGGTTTGTGCATTGAGAGATTCAAATCATAAGACTTTTTGGAAATATTTTGAGAAACACGTCCAATTCGGTAGCTGAACGATTTAATTTGAATAACAAACTAGGCAATGACTCTGCTGGAATTGTCATTCGAGGTTGGAAAGTTGAATCTGCATGAAACCATAAGATTGGTTTGTAGCCTGAAGCATTAGCTGATGGTATCTCATCAACTGATGAAAGTGGTGCCGTATCAGTATCACTCAAAGCATCGCTGTTCTTTGTATTTTGGGGAATGGTATCATGATCGATATCCATTTCACACTCGTCTGAATCGGATGAGTACTGCAAATTGTGTGTTGGATCTTGAAAATCGAGATCGTCTATTTCATCATCCAAATCAATATCTTCGTCTGTTATAAATTTAATTTTTTACGAAACAAAAAAAGTATTGCAACTGCAAAAAATTTCAAATTTCAGTGGAAATATCCATACTCTCTTTTTTTTTTCGGGGGTGGGGGTGACATATGTATGTCCAGATAGAATAAAGGACTCTTTACTCCAAAACAGATTTTTTCATAGTGTGTCTGTGTATGTATATATTTTGCATAGCTAAGAAATGATTAACAATAAAACTTTGAATTTTGTTATGGAACTGCTGCAACATCTAGTTATGCACCTCCCTTTTTTATTGCAATCGGCAGTACCAAACACGCACATATATATACAGTCAAAAGTCGTTAATCCGGACTCGTCGGGACTTCGGCGATTCCGGATTATAGATCATCAGTTTAAATCTCGTAAGATGGCATGCACAAATTCTAAAATTAAAAGCATGAAACCGTAATTTATGAAATAAAGAACAATTTGATCTAAAGGGTATCAAAATTTGCAAAAAGAAAAAGCTTAATATTTATTTGTTTACTTTATTAAACATTTCTTTCAATGTACGTTGTTTAAGTTTTGCTTCATTTCATGTGATAATACTTTCTCTTTAATTCTATTAAGCAGACGTAATTTCTTCAGTTACAAAGTTCTGCTGTTCAAGTCCTATAATTGCTATGTCGAGAATACTGACTAATTTGTCAATCGAAATTTTTTCGTTTTCAATAACCCCTGTCACTTTCTTCGCTATCGGAAGCGAATTATAATGACGAGGAACTTGTTTTAAATCATATCAAAGACGGAGCACATCAAGATGAAATACTACATTTGATAAGGAATTATAAGCCAAATAAAATAAAAGCATCTGCCCTGAAGATAAGGACAGTGCTGACAGATCAACTTCCAATTCATTATGTGCACGCCTGCGGCGTTTCCCCCTCGCTGAGCAGGTGTGAAATTGATAAACAGATTTCGGAGTGGTTAGAGAAACATACTTTCGCTTTAGATCCTTTACATATTAACAAATATATATCGGAAAATTATTTGATATAATCGAAAGTTTAAACTTACTTTTATAAAATTGCTCTTACAGTCTGCAAAAATAATAAGCCGGATCCAATTCGAAAATTAAAGGAACAACGCAATCATCAACATTAACTGAAATAGATAATTATTTAGCTTATACGTCCATTATACATAAAACGCGCACGCGAAAACGTATTCTGCACTTGCGCACACTCATTTGCGCAGTCGTAAAAGGTCTTAAGCGCACGCGTAAACGCCTATGCGCATGTGTCAACGCGGCGCATGCGCAGAAAGTTTTTAGTTTTGAGGTCCGGTTATAGATCATTCCGAATTATGGGTGTCCGAATTAACGACATTTGACTGTATATATATCTACCCTCTTTATCTGGCTTAAAAGTATGTACCCAGCCTTTAATTTCACAATCTTATATTTTAAATAATGAAAATATCCGTGTTTCGGCAATGTTGAATAAAAAAAATTAAATTTTGACAAATAGCAAAATTTAACTTTTAATGCTGTCTCCTAGTTCCTGTACAGTACAAAGTCCGTAATCCGGACTCGTTGGGACTTCGGCGATTCCGGATTATAGATCATCAATTCAAATCTGGTAAGATGGCATGCAGAAATTATACAATTAAAAATATGAAACTGTAATTTATGAAATAAAGAGCAATTTTGATCTAAAGGATATCAAAATTTACAAAAAAAAAAAAAAAAAAAAAAAAAAATCTTAATATTTATTTGTCTACTTTATTAAACATTTCTTTCAATGTAAATTGTTTAAGTTGCTACGTTTTTTGTGCTAATACTTTCTCTTTAATTCTCTCTTCTATAAACAGACATAATTTGTTGTTCAGTTACAAAGTTCCACTGTTCAAATCTTGTAATTGCTGCGTCGAGAATACCGACTCACTTGTCAATTGAAATTTTTTCATTTTCAATAACCTCTCTGTCACTTTCTTCACTATTGGAAGTGCGCATGTGTAAACGCTTTACTGGCTTTACGCGCATGCGTGAGTTTGTGGCTTTGAGGTCCGGATTATAGATCATTCTGGATAATGGACGTCCAGATTACGGACTTTGTACTATACTTATATTTGGGAAAGTGTTAGATTCATTATGAAAAAATAAAAGTATTAGAAGTTTGGCTTCCATATGACAAAAATTGATCAGGAGTTTTCAAATTTGCAATTTTTGATGTTTGATGATCAGTTAATTAAGTTCAAATAATTCTAGGAAATAAAGTTTAAATGAAGTACAGGAAAAAAAAAAAGGATATCATTTGAAAGGCATACAAGGAAGTCATGGTGATTTTTGTCATCAGACTTTTGTTTACTGAAATAACTAATTGAAGGAGTTATATGTCTTATGTTTAGCAAAACTGAATAACTTATAACTTTCTTGCTGCAGTACATTTCAAGTTTACTTATATTATATTTTCAGAGAAAATTCTTTGGCACTTGTTATCTACATTGAAATATCTTAATTTTGGGATTATTTTCACTGAGACTCTTAATCATTCCTCAAATGCATGTAAGAAGTGCATTACTATTTCAGTATAAAAAATTACATAGTAAGTCATTATTGACTAAAATCATGGAAACGTTGCTAAATTTATGCTGTGCTGAGTTTCTTCCCATGGGATTGATGTCCCATGATTGTCACTGTGTGTACCATAAAAAGGAATCGATTCATTTGTGTTGTCCTTCATGAAGGCTGCCTTATCGTAGCATTATTTTAGAAAGTAAAGACATAATTTTACTAGATGATTTGGTTGTGTCCAAAGT